GTGGGATCAGGTTCCGAGGGCCACATGATCCCTAAGGCCCCGAACTCCCCTTAGACTGGCGTTTCTGAAGCGGAGTTTCTCACACCGTAGGTGCTCCAACTCCTGCGCATTCCGACTGAACACCAGAACGTCGTTCGTGTACCAGCAATCACTTGTTTATACCAATAAACCATTATCACCATGTTGTCCGGACACGAGTGGCAAAACAGATTTACTAAACTTAGCATGTTCGAGTCTGGGACGCAGACTTGTGTCCGTCGTCGGGACGTATTAGATTCCGTAAAATCGCATAAGCATAGTCAAATGAACAGACTTCTGAATCGTACAAGAGGTCAAGCCGGTCCGAGGATCAAGGCAAAAGAGCCCTTTGATTCGCGGTGAGCTTATTGAAGAACGTGAAGTCGACGCAGATGGGCCAATCACCGTTCTTCTGAACTGCTTTGCAGCCTGTGTCAAGAAGAGCTAGCAATTTCTGACCATTCATACAAATTTTGATTGGCAGAGGCTTGACTCGATGGCGACGTGCAGGTGCGGCAGTCACCTCTTTTGGGTGCATCGCTGCTGCGTACGTCACATGATACGCAGGGCACGTTCTTAGTCGCTGTGTTGTTTACCCTGACGGATCTGCTCGAAGCCTTGCTTCTCCAGTTCCTGCGCTCTTTTCAGCCTCTTGCATCCTCGGATTGTGTAACCTTATTTGCGGCACAGGCCGTTTTTTTTTCCTATTCCCCCCCCATCGGCCCCCTAGGCTTTCTGAGTGCTGGATTCTTCGGCTGCCGCCTGTTCTCATTGCAAGCTTTTTCCTTGGCATGAGTGGCATTCACAGTCTCGGCTGTTTCCTTCGTTCTCAGTCAGGGTATTGAAAGGGGATGCTCCCCTTTCTTTGACGAGTAACTACCCCATCATCTTGGCAAGTCTCGTCCTGCAGATCATAGGCCTCTTTCCGTTGCCCCACGGTTACTGTTTGTCTTTCACCGGGGGAATCGCGCTATGAACCACTGACATAGATTGCCCGAGTTCACGACGGGACCTCTGCCAACCAATGAAAAAATATCCTCCACTTAACGCCCGAAAAATAGCTTCTCGCGCTGAAGCTGGCTTGCTTCTGTTTCTGCCATACCCTATCCCTTCGCCAATAAGCGGATAGAGCTACTCTGTAGCGCGTATCTGACGGGTTGCATAGTCTGAATGTGCTGCGTGAAAGTGGTACCCCTGCTTGGATACAGTAACAACTGTATCGTCTCCCCTTCTGATTCCGGAAGCGACAGTAGCATGTTGGGGAGATTTTGAAAACTAAAGCACACCACCAGAGAAGCAAGGAATCCACCCACTGACACCGCATCAGGGAACAGTCACAAGCGAGATGCATTGCTCATGCAACATTTTCGCCGTAAAAGCATTTTCGGCCGGACGGGCTGGCGATTCTGCAATCGGTCCAGTGCGTAGGGGCACCCAACCATCGAACACCAGCCCATAGGAGGGCAGCTCCTGACCAGCATTCATTATCATAAATCTCAAAAGGACTATGCTTTGACAAAGATATTTGATCGAATCTTGAAATGCTACCAATGTTTTTTGGAAAAACGCATCATACCTAACCAGTTATGTACACCAGGATGCTCAGCTGCCGTGGTACGCTTGACAGTTTGCACGTGCCTCTTACATATGGGGTGACAGCAAGTGTAGCAGGAATTCTAGACATTACCTAAGAAACGCCCTTAGCTGCAATAGAGGCAAAATATTTTGATAAGAGTTCGCCTGAAGCAGCTGACCGCTCCGACCTCCAGGAGTCCTGCGCACAGCAACACAGTATCCTGGGGATGAGGGGGAGGGTAATCAACCTGCTAGGAGTTGTAGCATATCTTTCAGCCGTAACGAGAGAATTCTGCCTCACTTGAGGTCCTTCGCGAGCTCCAATAGAGCCAGAAGCCTTATGGTTAGAGCTCCCTAAAAACAGCTGAAGTCCTTCTCCAGGCGCCCTGGGTGCAACTTCTCAGGGCCTGGCGTTACCGGAAATGAGGCGACCTGACAGTANGTAATTGCAGGCTTGTTGAAGCGTAAGCACAACCGGCGTCCTTTAAAGCTTTCTTTATCTCTGTAGACACGTATTGAGCTTTACCTGTACTTGCTTGCAGGTGGCCTGTCAAAGCCAAGTGCATGCTCATTTGCTAACAACGGGCAGGTCATGCTGCCCTCAGAGAATGCTACAATGCCACAGCCAGTGACCAACAGCGGCAGGTATAGGACAATCGAAACAAAAATCTGACGATAAGATAGACAGCATAGAGCTGGCCAATGAAGTTTAATAGTAGAACATTCAAGTAGAATTCCTGTAGTTGAAGGTATTGGCGTACATCAGTACGCGCATTGGCAAAGTAGCTCACTATAGGTAGGGGTAAGTCGCTAAATCCTTCACCACCCCAAATGGGCCCAGATGAACCGTGCAAAGAATATAATCGTCTTAATAAAATGCTAGGTAAACTCGATAAAGTCTTTAAGGCGTCTCAGGGAGAGCTTGGCATCAGGCAGTACCAACGCAGCCATAGGTTTGGAGTCATGCGTCCTCGCTCGCAGTAGTAGGGGCTGGGAACCAACGGGAGGCCAGGTTACTGGTTCTTTGTTGATGGGCCTTTTGTTCTTCTTCTCTCATGTTTGTCCTTATAAGGCGAATAACAAACAAAGTCGCACAACAATAACGCAGGGACGAGGTCCATCAAAGTTGTGGCATTGGTGCTTGCTTCTCTTCGAGCATCGTGGCGCCCCGCTCCCTCTTTGCTTGGCCGCATTCAACATTTTCTTTTTCCTGTTATTTTCACGTTTCTCTAGCAACATCTTGCATGGATTTTCTTCCATCTGGCTGCCCCCTGAATTCGCACAACTTGGGGGAGGCGGCGCATCACTCCTTCCGTGAGGCCCCCCAATCGTTAGAAGAGCAGACGCTCGACCAGATTATGGGTCGAACTTTACCCCTCAAAGTTTAGAGGGTACTTTCCTGACCCGTACGGCTGCTAGAGCTATAGTCTCCATTCTGGGCGGCCGGGGTTGCGTGCGACATGCAAAGGGCCCCACGCGCGGCAGTCTCCCCACACTGCAGGGCCGATTGGAGTGGCCATGAGACCGCAGTCATAGATCTTCCCACCCGTAGAGCTATGGGGAGATATCAAAGACTGCTTGGCATTGGCCGGGTGGTCCGACATGCGCTGCTGGCCCTGCTCATGCTAGAGCTGCTTGTCGTAGCGGATGCCTCAAGTTCCACCGTTGCATCCGGAGGGACGAGTCCCCCAGGCGTAGCGACAGTGAGCGATGCCGGAAGTGCACGTGATGGTAAGCCTGCAATGCAGGATACTATTGTCCTGAGCGAGGGAGCAGGTGCTAAATCACAGACCACAACTACTACGGGCGGCCTCGTTTCGGCTGAACAGCGTGACAAGGGGAATCTGGAAATGCTCCGCGCCCTCATGCTTGAAGCAGATGCAACTGAGTCCGAGAAGCTGACAGACAGCCAGTATTTGTAAGCGTTCAGGGGGGGGTTGCACACCTACCATCTAGTTGAAGTTTATTCCTGTTTTGTAACTAAATGTCAAGAAGTAGTTTCTGGTGTTTGACAGATGGCGTTGCCAGTCCATGAGGTCTCGCTGATACTTTGTGGCTACGTGGTTACATGGTTTGAATTTGCGTTGCGTCAGCATACGTGAATATGACTGATGCATAGCCGCGGTAAGGTGTTTATTTTTGTAAAGGGCGCGACTTGGTGGTCAGTGTCCTTCCGACAACTTTTCTCCAGACCCCCCTGCTCCTCTCGTGTGTGTGCTTGTTTTCAGTTTGGGAGTTATGTCCCAGAAAATCAAGCGACATTTCCTGGCTGACCTCCTTTCGGTGATCTTGCTGTTTGCTGGGTACTATGTCCTGGCTGCTGGACTCGATCGGAGGCCGACACGAAAGACATCAAACAGAAGTTCGAAAACGCAGATGTCAAGTGGGTCTCAATGATTCATATTTTCAGGTTATACTTCTGACGGGGGATGAGGATGCAAACATTTGCATCTGCGGTTGTAGCGTAGCAAATACCGCGAGGGGGCAGCTGCAGGGGGGCAAACGTTTCTTCCAAGCACGGAACAGGCAGCGAGGACTCGACCATTGAACAGAATTCAACTCTACGAGTGGCTAGAAGCTGTAGCGCATTGCGTGAGCTTTCTAGTGATATCTCTGGCGTGACAGTGCGTGCCAGCAGTAGCGCCAAGATCTGGAGAGTTATTCTGTTTGTGGGTGTTGATTGGAGCTCTGGGAGGCCGCTTTGCGGGGGATGAATGCTTCGTGAGGAGATGAGTAGTTGAAATGACGCTTGAAGTGTCACGAGCAAGCGTGGAAACCAACGCTGCTTCCAGATTCTGGCCGCTCCTCCAGCCTTTGCTTTTTCGCGTATTCTGATGCGGCGGACGCATGTTTTCGTTTCAAATGTACTCTATCGAACTGCGTTTCACTGGTCCGTAACTAGGAAGCAAATATGAATAGGCGGTCCAATAGCTGAATGGTATAATACGGTACCCTAAGTCCATCCTCCTGTATGAGTTTGCTGTAACTGTGTATCTCCATACAAGAGTCCTGCTGGGTTTCCAGGACTGCAGCGCCAGTGCCCCTTATGCGCACTGCCGTTTTCGAAATATTTACATACAACTGACGACTCGTCATATCATTTGAACTCACTAAACCGGCAGTACCGACCATGCTAGCCAGTATCGCGGGGCCCGCTGCGGGATCACACGCTTAATTTCATGAGGAATTCGTGGTCCGCCAGAAGCGCCACATTTTTGTTATAGGGCTAGCAGTCAAGCGCGACATCTAGCCTCAAGCGAAGAGAGTGCCACGACGATGGCTAGCCGCACAAAGGATTGGCGATAATAAATATGGTGATTGGCGAGCTCCCATTCTGCTCAGTCGCCGCTTACAATAATTTCTGTGCCCACCAGAGCAAGGTTCTAGGTCGCCGCAACTTTGGTAATTATTTGGGAGGTTGGATGGTGGAGCCCGTTTCAAGTCTTTCATCGTGAGTATTCCCAGCAACGCCACAGCTTATTAAGAGCTTCAGAACATTTGCGGATATTCCAGTTGTGTGTTGCTCCTAGCTCAGCAGATGGTGGCGCCACCGGCCTACGACAGAACGCGACACCGATTTGCCACTCCGACGCTTATTCACGCTCAGCCTGCTGAACATGACATGAAAGCCCTTTGCTACTAACCAGCAATCGGAAGCTCTATGATGGCTTAGCGTGACTTTCTCTACTATCGAGTATTGTTGCATTCGGCCGGGAGTTACTTCAAGGCCAGGAGCATACTGCAAGTGCGCACACGTCTACTACGACCCTGCACCACTTGACGCCTGACGAGTATCTCTTAATGAGATTGCCGCTATTTCGTATTATGAGGATTTGCCCTGCCTCCGTAGATATTCTGGTTGGCTCTCACCAGCCGTGCACCTTCGGTGACGACACGGAGCCAGATCTGCTCGCTGCCGTATACATATGGCAGCGGGCAGATCTGATAGGTGCCAGAGCGAGAAGTCAGTGGGAGCGCACGTCTTAAATGCGGACACGGCTTTTCAGTCTACGAAAACTGCACAATGTTTGACTCCCTCTGCCAGTCAGAGTCCGCCTAAAACTGCTACAAACCCCTCAAATTTACGCTTTGGTCTGCCACTGGAACAAAATCACCGCAAAGTATGCATCATGGTGAAGCTCAGTGTGTATGCATAACTACACTGCGGTACAAGCTTTTCGGATAGTATGCAGAGCTTCGTTCAAAGGTGTATACATCGGAGGCGCAGGTACAATGGGTCACCTTGGTTTTTTGCTCAAAAATGTGCAGCTCATGGACACCAGTGCAGGAGACCAAAGTTCTCTAGAGGCAGCTAAGCGCCATGCTGCGCCGTAGCTGCAGTGGTGCCAGTTCAACACTGCGCAGAGTGCTCAGAGTCATAAATCTGATCTCTGACGGTCGGAACGCCCTGTTGAGGTACCTAATTGCCGTTTTTTCTCAGCATCGGTTCGCCGTCTCTGAACCGCGGACATATGAGTGGCGCTTGATTGCGAGCTGGAAATGACGATCGCTACGGCTGTAACTGCTGATTAAAATTAAGATTCAGAAGTTTCAGTTCATGTGCGAGCAAAGTGCGATATCATCAACACAGCACAGTATTTAACACAGTCACGTCCCCATGTTTAACTAGACATGTCCCGGCAGTAACCCGCGACTTGGGTGGTTAACCTTTCGCGCGGCTTGCGAGAGGCTCCAATATTTAAAACGCTGAGCGCTAAAGGCTTTTCGAGATACTCGAACATACGACAGATATTCGCACATCCGCAGAAACAGCACTTGTCTGCTCACGCACCATTGATTTCGGAGTAAGGTGCTCCTTTAGGAAGCATTCAGCCACACCATCCCTGTTCTGGTGTTTCTTGAATAGGTTTTATTCTCAATGGACGTCCTGCTGCTCATGCAGATAGAGCTGAGGGAACCGCAGTCCCTCGTGAAGTAGCTGATGCTGTTCCTAGAAAATTTGTAATATCTTCTCCATGGGCGCGTACCCTACGCCTCTACATGTCCGGGCCACGCACCATGGTTTACAGACAGGGTGGCCATGTCCACTCACATGAATCAACAGCATTGTTGGTTTCAAAGGCCTTGCAGCAGTACACATCCCGGGAGGGCGTCCGCAGTGCTTGCATAGGAATAATCGGGTTGACAATGCGACAGACGATACAGCGCCGTGTACCCAGCTTGTAAATAATTGGGAAGCTTCGACGTGACCAAAATAAAGGAAATGCTGTCTACGCATAAACTTATAGAGCTGAGAGATGTAGGCAAGCGAGTTAGCCGACACCAGCCCTATCTACCCAAGCACGCTGAGTGAAAACGGATGTGCCACTGGGAAATGCTCAAGTTCTGACTCAACCCTTTCATGCAATCTCTAGACGCATACAAATATGAAAGTGATATGCCTCCACACGTTGCAGAAGATGTTTAAGAGGGCCGGCCCTGCACATTCACGTAGGAATCGATCTGCCAGATGTACTTACTCTCCTTCTGTCAAGAAAACTACAGTAGATCCGCACTGTCTTTCTCATCACGAAACCGTTCCAACTAAAATTGCTGCATTACGTACACAGCCATCCCTAGCATACACCAGTGGTCACTGGTCGAGGCCCATGCAGTGACAGGCTGCTGCGCTGGACACTTGGACGTCGCTAGCGGTAGGTAACGGCGCTCACTGAAGCAGCTCCAAAGGCACAAAAAGTCTCGAATCCCACTTTTATGGGAACTACAATTGTAGAACCCCAAGAAGGCTGAAATGGCGTGGAGGGTCTGTGGGGCCGATGCATGCCGACGCGGGGCCCCTATTGAGCATGTTTCAAGCTTCAAAAGTAGCCCACCGCACCTTAAGACAGCAGGCAACATACAATAAGCTGACGTTCACCAGTGATCAGGGATATCAGACCTCTCTTGACAGCAGAATCAATTCGCCATTCGCCGCCGAAGCGCATATGTTTAGGGACCAACGCAGTCATGGGCCGTGGCAACACACGTTAAGCTGCTAAACGGAATGCTATGCGGGCTTTAAGAAACCAGTCGTTTGAGGATGGCTCCTCCAAAGGACAACACCAAGAAGGCGCAACAGAAAGCTGCCCGAAGGGAACTCCAACAGAAAAAGGCCGCTGCGAAGGAGCAGAAAAAGAAGCAAAAGAAAGGTGAAGTAGAGTGTGACGAGACTCCAATTGACGTACTACTGCAACAGCTGGAGGAAGAACAGCGACAAAGGCAGATAAGCAGGACTCAAGCTACGCCTTGCAAACAGCCTTCCCCTAGGGCCCACGCGTCCCTAACGCTGCTGCCGAGGTATGAGAATACCGGGCATTTTAGACACTAGGGTTTCCTTCCTGACGTCGAAGATATACGGACCTGGGACGACCATGCTTATGCGAGAGTGCGTGTTGCTGTTCAGCGGTGACTTCTTGCTTTTTGGGGGGGAAAGTTATGACGGCAAGAAGGTCCGTGTATATGGAGATCTTTTCAAGTGGGATATGGACAAGGCAGAATGGCGTCGCCTTGACGCGCCCGAAATGCCGAAAGCCCGGTGCTCTCACCAAGCCGTATACCACAAGTGAGCGTGATTGCTGTTGTGGAGTCGCCGCAGAAGCAGCCATCTCAGCAGTGCTATTGGCTGCAAGACAGACAGTTAACCCGAGGGAGTTTTTCTGTGGAATGCCATTCCTTGACCGGCAAACCTAGCTTCTTACTTGTACGCGATTATTTAGCTACTAACAGTGCTGTGGCTTGCATTGAGTATTGTGGTCTCTACAGTGATGCGCTTTATGTATTTGGGGGAGAATTTTCAACATATTATCAATTTCATCACTATAAGGATTTTTGGAGATTTGATCTGAAGTCGAACTTGTGGAGTAAAATTCTTGTTGACTGCCCTGCGCAAGTCCCGTCGCCTCGGAGCGGACACCGAATGGTAAACTGCTAAAGTGTTTGAAACCCTTAAATCTTGAGATGCAGGGAATCACTTTCCAGTCCACATGCTGTGGACTGAGGATGACATCAAACCATTCCGAGATCCCTGAGCCCTACATATTTCTCCGGCTTTTGCCGTGCGCCTCAGTTGGGCTCCAAGGCACTTATGAAGTGAACCCCTCTTGAGAAGGCCTGCTACACAGTTAAAGGAGGGCTCCCGCGTGGATGTGTATGATTCTTTTGTGCGGGTATGTAGGGTTTGGGGGAAACGTGTGTGCTGACTTGTAGTTTTTGTATTTTTGTTGCCAATTGTTCACTGTGCCTGCTGGCTTAGGTTGTCTGGCGTGGCCTGCTGATTCTTTTCGGCGGATTCCATGACACCGGAAGAGATACGCGCTACTACAATGACTTATATGTATTCATATTCAACGAGAACAAGTTAGTTCAGTCTCGGTCGGGTGTTCGATCGGCTCGCCGGACACTGTTCCGGCTATATTGCTAAACAGTTTCACCCAGGGATCGGTGTTTGCAGTTTTTACGTGAGTTACGGTGGCAGTATATTCACTCATACTGCTTGCTTGCGGAGCTGTCTTCACAGATGGAGGAAGATCGAGTTCCCACCGCATAGTCACATTCCAGAGGCTCGGGGCGGATGCGTCTTTGTCGTCGTTGGAGATGTTATCCTGCTCCATGGTGGCTTTGCAAAGATCAGGGATACGAACAAACGTGTTCAGGGCAAGATATTCACGGTGCGGCTTGAACCTACAGCTCTAGCCACTGCTTGTATACCCTTGGTGCCAACTGGCTTTGGCGTCGGCACGGAACACTTCCCCATGGTAGCGGACACATTAATTCTTGTGCAATAAAACATCTTAAGAGGCGACGAGAAGGCGATACACTTTAGACGAAGGAACCACGGCGTACAGTCTGCCGGAGTATGGTATGGTGAGAGCCCCGGGTGGTGAAGTTGCTCAGGATTCTTGGCTTTTGGACTTGAAACCACTGGCTAAAGGAGCACTAACGCAGATCCCTACGTGGGAGAAAATCAAGAATAGCGGTACTCCGCCATCACCAAGAACGGGTAGGTTAAAAAGTATTCCTCCAGCCTCGTCAAAACTCCACTGTGTCGAAAGTTGCTGCGCCTCCGTGCTTGAAATGACTGAAGAGCTACATGTGTGTGCAGCTGCAGTTATTAGCAGGCTAATGAATTCAAATAGCCTGCGGACACCGTTGTAGGGCCTCATGTAAGGCGTATGTGTCTTTTCCTGACTTTTACATAGGAATGTGCGCAACGGCGTACAAGTCCACCGTTATTGTTTTCGGCGGCGTCGCGGACCAAGATGATGGAGGGACAAATCTATCGTCCGTTTTCTTCAACGACATGTATTCATTTGACGCCACGAAGAGGTATGCCCAAAATGCATAGCGCTGATTACACTGAGCGCATTGCTTCATCTCGTGGCTCCGCTTGGGTGCAGCTGTTGTTCGGGACTCCGCTGCACTTGATTTCAAAAATCTTCCAGCGGGGAGCTTGGTTTTTGCAGGCGTTGGTACCGCCTTGAGCTTAAGACTGGAAAAAAGGGGGGATCAAGGAAGCGTACTCCCAAGCAGGTTGAACACGACGTTGGTGAGTCAACCTTCATGTTCCAAAAGGTAGCATCGCCTTGCGGTTTAATGCATTATCATCATAACGAAGAAGTAGGTAAATGTAAGAGGCGTGCCGAAGGGTGTGCATTTCTGTTTAAAGGTCATTTACATCTGGGTGAAGAGGAACGTACCTGCAAAAGTGAAACCAGCGAAGAATCTTCTGATGATGAAGAAAACTGGCAAGTGAGTTGCACGAAATTCGCCATAATGAGCGCATGATAATTCTCCTTTGCTGGGTACGTACTGATTGGGCTTGGGCGTTCGCTACATGCACTTCGCCCTCTCCAACTATACCTTGTTCTTAACGTGAACATGACGGGGTACAAGATGATCTCTTGTGATTGCGCCGTACGTTTGAGTGAGGGTGCTCTCTCAGAACACGTTTGCTTACTTTGACACGAAAGGCCGGTTGGTTAAGCTACGGCTAGAGGATCTGCCAGAGGTTAATCGAGCCTCGGCGACGCGTTCAGATGCTACCCTCCGACAGAGCTCACCAGGATGCCCCAATAAACCCGACGGAGCTTTATCTAATCACGGCAGCGAGAGCAGCACTTACACAAGCAGGGCAGCGTGTGATGGGCCTAAGGACCGTACACCTAGTGGTACCTTGGCGCCAACTAAGCCCCCTGAGCCCACTGAACCTGACAGGGGGGCTCAGCACACAGACAACAAAATTGCTGAAGCACCACAGAGCGCGGCCTTAGCTGGGCCTTTTGAAGTTTCGAAGACCCCTTCGCTGTTTTCAGCTGATGTACCCCTTCCGCGACTTCATGGAATGATTTGTGTGAGGGGTTCCAGCTTGGTTTTGATGGGGGGCTTAATGGAGCTGGGGAGTAAGGAAATAACCCTAGATGACTGCTGGAGCCTTAACATGAATAAGAGGTGGGCACGGTTGCCATCGGGTGTGGAGCGAGCTTCGGGCTGTAAGAAAATTATGCAACGATCATATCACCTCTCTGTTTGCGTTGGCTTATCTTGCGAAACATGACATTTCGCGACTGACTGGGCAAATGTTCTGCTAAGGCACCCTAGCAGAGGAACGCTTTGCACTGAAGCGCTTATGCCGAGGCAAATCGATATGTGACCCGTTGCGTGCAGAGACCGCTGGGTCCGTGTACTGGAGGGCACGATGCATGAACAAGAGTGGCAAGGAGCAGAAAGCGAAGCTGAGAGCAGCGGTGGAAGCGACAGCGGGGATGATAGCAGCAACAGTGATCCAGGAAGCTCCGAAAGTGATGAAGACGACGATGAAGTGTCAAGTTCCGATGAAGGTACGCCATTTGCAAGGCGGCAAGGCTTGTGTTTGACAGCAGTGCCTTGCATATTTGACTTGCGTAGGCTGCGTTTCCCTCAGAAGGACCAAAACATGTAACCAACAAAGAACGGAAACGGTATCGTGTCAGGGAAGAGATGCAGCAACTGCGGGTGAGTAAACGGTTGAATGGCGCCGCACATTCCTACGCAGATCCGGTGCAGTGAAGTCATTGCATGCTAACAAGGATCTCAGCTTCATGAAAAATACCTGCACTAGCAGGTCATAAGTAGCCGCTGCCCTTGCGCAAATGAGTGCTTTGCCGCAGGAACGGTACGGCCTTGACGATCCGATGGAAACCCCTGCGGAAGGCGAGTCTCTGCGTGACTTTTTTGAACGGACCAAAGAATATTGGGTCCAAAAAGCACGTGCTGGAGGTAAGAAGGGGCACTGTCGCGCATACATTGTGACGAGTTACGCTCGACTCACATAAACTTTTCTGTGCCTCACGCGACCCAACAGCCGGTGGCGTCAAATCGCCGTGAGCGATGTACGCACAGGTGCAGGGAGGCTGTAGCGAGGCGGTGTGTTTCCACACCAAGCCACCACTTGGTTGCCTTTGAGCGAGGGAGCGGCCTGTGTATTCCTGACTGTGCGCGTATGCTCGATTGCAGGATGCAGTGCGAAGAACAACAAGGAGATGACGCGGGAAGCTTTTGAGGCGGCTTCCGCTCGCGTCTCGGCTATCCGAGAAGCACTCCGCCGAATGGATGAGCTGCAGCGTTTAGATGGTGACCAATCCGAAGAGCGCGAATCTCGCCCACATGGCAACCCGAAGGCGTCCACAGCGAGGAATCTCACTTAGTGTTTGCATTTATTCGCTTCTCCGCGGTGTGCTACATCCAGCAACCCCTGGTGCACCAAAGGATAAGTGATAGGAAATCGAAATCGTTTCTAGGTGTTCCTGAGTAGCATACGCTATAACAACGGAGACGCGAGAACTAGCCAGGAACCTCTGACCCGCACTTCCTTAAGTCTTCCTACCTTCCTAATCATGGTTGTGCGAAGTCATGCTCAGGACCAGGGTTTTTGTTTTTGAAGACGCTTTTATTTTAATTGCTGTCTCCCTCAACAAAGAGTTTATTGGCTTCGCCAAGCCATTTGCGCCACGTAGGAACCCGCCTCTAATGCCTTATAGCGATAAGTAGCATTCGGCGGGACAAATAAGAGATGCAGCATTCTCTCGGACAAGCCTAATATCTAAACCATTGCTGAGAGGTGTGACCGCAAAACGAAGGAAATGCGGGAATTTCCACCATGTCTGCGTCTGTGACTTTTGATAAGTAAGGCACTAACGAAATATTTTGTCTGTTAACGTTTAGTCTAGCGATCACTTGGATTCTCCCGTCCCGCAAGTTGGCAGACAGCTCTGAACGGAAGTCTACAGCGACTGTCACCCTCCACCACGAGAGGCGTCTTGCTCAATGAACCCTTATTTTAACGTCGAAGGTTGCCATATGCGAACCACTGGAGGTGTGCATTCACGGGCCCATGCATCGCTCAATCTTGCGACGCCGCCTGAAGATATCACGCAACCCCCAACGAACATTCAGAATGCTATACGTTATGGGTGTACTCGGTACCACATCACAAAAGATGAGGATGCAGTTCCTGCCTGCACTTCACTTGTTGCTGCGAATGTGTACCACTAGGCAAAAAGAACTTGTTCCAACGCAACCACTTTACCTATTCACAGCAATGTCCTTACTGGTTTCGCCGGGAATGGTTGCCTATGGAAGCTTTGTTGGTTTCCTTGCGCCGAGCCGCCAGTGTGCCGCCTCTGACTGGCATGCGACCTGAAGAGACGCACGTTCTCATGCTTACACAAAGCCAGTACAGTGCCCCTGATTTCGGCTAGAAGGCCTCGGCGACAACATCTTTTCCGGAGTATAACGGCAAGGCAAACCCCCACAACCGCAGGGAAGAAAACCAGTGCTCACTACCGCTGCGAAGCGGATGTCCAGCGTTCTTGTCCTCCTGTTCAGTTTCGTTAGATGACGAACTCTCCTCTGCTTCAGCTGCATTGCGCATCATGGTAACCATACTAACAGACACAATATACGCTCCACAAAGACAGTTCCAACTGGTGTTTGTAGCTCCAAGACTGTGGTTTTGGTCTGGCTGCTTGACGCATAAATACTACTAAAGGGTATTTGACGTTTCCGCCATATGCCACACGACCTTCAAGCTGCACTGACATTCTTCAGGGCTCCACCGGGCGGCCGCAGTCTCCTGTAGAAGCTCTTCGTCAGCATCATCATCGTATAGCAAACTGTTCGTATCTTCGCTGCCTTCTAGATCCTCAGCAGCCGCCCGCTCGCTGCGTACACAGGGGTTGTTCGTTCCGTGTCTTCAGAATTGTATGAGCCCAACATGAAAATAAAGGCTACAGACAAAGTGGTGATCGTGGCAGCAGGCGAAAAGGGTACAAGGGTCGTCGCAACTTACGCAAGAGCAAGAACCTGACGCTGTATGTCGGCGCTCTGCGGCATCTTGCTTAGCTCCGGAACTGCCCCCTGTTTCTCCTGGTCTATGAAGTCCGCCGCATCTGGAGTTCCAACAAACAATGGAAACGACACTTGCTCTGCATCTCACGATATGTCTACTAATGGCAACAGGCCATCCAAAGCTCAGTCTGGCGCCGAACACACTCACAAAAAATGTTAAGCTGTGAAACGCCACGTTCTACCGTAGGGTTTCATATTTGAATACCTTGAAGAGTCGCCTGAAGTGGGACGTCTCGCAGGTTCGCAGGTTTCATATTTTCCATCAAAAGAGAGACAACCTCCTCTGCATTTCCTTCTAACTCGCGGAGGGCCAAATACAAATATCCTGGCCCATGACCAGGGAGCATCTCCTGCAGTTGCCTGAACGCCAAGTCTTCCACGAGGCGTCAGCGCTGTCAGCTCGCAGTGAAAGGTGTGCAAGCAAGTCAGGTGGAGTTCACTGACACAAAGAAAGTAGCACTGTTCGGTCGCATTGTCAGTGAACGCCTCCACCCAAAGCTTACCGTACAGTCGTGGCATCTGCTGAAGTCAGAGCCAACGAAGTCTTCATCTCAAGGGGAGCAGTAGGCTGTTCCATCGTTTCATCTTCACCCTGCCACGGAAGGAAGCAGCAGCGAAGCCGGCAACGAGCCAGAGTTGATTCTGCTCCCCGTGAGTCGCGGGAGCACTGGCAACGGGAGCAACTACGACTGAAGCAACAACTGAACAACTGTTGGGGATAATATAAGGGCCCTTAACGAGGCAGCATCCTTACAGTCTTGGAAGTAGACAAAATGGTGTCGATGTAATCTATCTGATCTTCATCTCTGTGAGACAACATAATTTCAAGCTCCGCAAACCTGACCCCCAAAGAAATTCTAACACCCCTCTCTGCTCCACTGAATAGGTACCGTCCTCGAATCGGCCGAACATTCATGCAGGCCGCAGCGCACAGCACGCAGCAGGAACGTCTAAGAACTTACACATCGGCCAGGCGCCACTGCTGCAGCAAACAGCGAATGCCGCTAACCTCCAAGTCGCCAACAATGCATTGTGTAGCGCCGCCGTCCGCCGAACAACCCTAGGATTAAGCAGATAAGAAAACCACCAGAACATGCTAGAGCTTCAGATCATCTCGGCTCAGAGCATTAGGTCTTCCCCAAATTGTTTCACGCTCACCTCAAACAACTGAAGGAGTGAGGCACCCCAATCTTGCAACAATTCCTCTGCCCTCTGCTGCAGGCGCCTACTAGGTCTCCTGTTGCCTCCAGCTCTTAGCTCCTCCCGAACGTCCCTGCTCTGGGCTGCTGCGTCTCCCACTAAACAGCAACAAGCCAAGGTCCGACCGCGGACGGCGGCCTGCTGAAGGCTTGGAGGCAAGAGAGGTGACGATCGTGAAAACCAAGGGGGGCGCGTCTAAAAACACGAACAATTGTCCCCCATAGATGATACCTTGAGCTCTGTGGCAACTGGGGCTGCTATTCGCTTGGGTAACCTCACGAAAAAGCTAGACAGCTAGCTACCGTTAGGATGTGTATGTTGCACTTGTAAGCTATGTTGCGGGCCCTTACAAGTGCTGCGCAGATGGCTCTAAGGGGAGCCGAAAAAGGACTCTGTGCAGGTGTCGGGGCCTCCGGCTCTCTGAAGGACTTCAGCACTGCCTCCACGGAGGGTAGTGAACAATCCTGCTTTTGCCCTCTGTCCCACAACTCCAGTGCAAATGATAGCGGCAGGCAGCAGGTCGCTACACGTAAAGTCGCGAGGGCCTCTATTAAAGGTTGCAGAGTAGCAGCTGCAGCCTCCTGCCAAGATGACAAAGCACTGTGTCCTCCTACTGTCGACAACGGCGAATACACCAACGGACAATCCGGCCGCCGGCTTAGGGCTTCTAAGGACCTTCTGGAAGCCTCAATCGCGCAGAGTACAGACTCTCTGAGTTCCGCCACAAGCCGTTGTCGCTTTGTGGGCTTCAACGAGGTCAGCAGAGTAGCAGCCACTTCATAGCATAACGCCGGATCTGCTGCTTCCCAGCATAAACAAACATCCAGGCAGGCCGAACATGGCAAGGAGAGCAGTTGCTGCAGTTGCTGCTCGGCCACTTGCAGCCTCGACAGCCGCAGAAAGACCCGTAGTAAAAGCCTGTCCAACATGTGGATAAAACAAGCAAATGAGAAACTGCCCTGCAAAGAGGGGCGCATATAATCTGCGATGGTTATGGAGGGACCTTTCCATGAGCAACGGGTGGTGTGTAGATTGAATTCGCCATACTTTTGCGTCGTCTGCGGGAGGGGATATGTCTCGGTGGAATGACACTCATACGCAGTCTGAAGCCGCAGCAACAGCTCTTTCAGCCACTTCTGCAACTCACGGTCATCTTCCAGTTGCCGCTTCAGAGCATCGTCTCGCAGGTGTAGCAGCAGCAAGGCGGCAGCCTCAAGTTGAGCTGCAAGTAAACGCAACATTCACCGCAGGCCTGCCTCTTCAACCGCAACACATTTAACTGTGGTCTTAATCCTAGACAGTACTCTCCACTGAGAATGCGGTCCACCCATTCCTCATGCCTCGTACCAAGAAGTTCACTCCGCTCATGAGCTGGTAATCGCTCTCCCAGGCGCCACGCCTCTGGCCATTTAACATATAAAGTCCCCATAACGGGAACTTTCCTTTGCGTATACAAATTTTAAACTATTCGTCAGTGTGACTCCAGCGACACGAGAGGCGTAGTTCAAGAAACCGTAATGGCGGTCGTCGTGGCATTCCGAGTGTAAGGATCTGGATACCATCACACATCTACGCAGCACACGATAGGTATTTAAAATAATGACATTATCAGCAATCTCATTAGGAAACAACCAGGTGAGTGATGGGGCAAATATCTATATGGTTGTTCGGTCGCGTGGGGCCCCGGTAGCTCCGTGCCACACAGGCGCACAGGAACGTTCATTGATTAATGAATATCTAAATGGGACCCGTGATCTTTGTTTGAAATTTAAGTGCAAGCCTTCCAAAGTTGTTGTGTAACGCTCTTACTGAATCCTTCGTGAGATCGGATCCGTGCAAAAACTGTGCACGTAGCCTTACAGTTTATCTCGCCATTGCTTCATATTAATCAGTAGTTTTGCGCTTAGAGCGCATCCCGTCAATGCATATATGGACCTGAGCTGGCATTTATATTTGAGAAGTGCGTGTGTGGTTGCGTCAACGAGGCGAGTACGATTCGCTTCATGGGCACTTCTAGATGAGATTTCCGCGTGCACATTCTTCTCACGAAATGTGCGCTAGGTGTATCAGTCCTGCAGAAGTTCACTTGTCCTATAGCTTGGTCGAATGAGCTTAATAAATATGCCATATGTAGCATTGGCGGTTTCAAGTTGGTCTCTGTATCCTTACTTGCGTGTAGTATTGCCACTGATGGCGGATTAACTGCTCAGCAGATATCTACAGTGTTAGTGCATGCAACAATATGGGCTTCTTTGTTATGCCTGCAGGTGTACTTGCGCTACTGCACGAGTTGCAGTAGGGCGCGTTGCAATTCGTGTCACGCCGCCTTCTCTGCTCCGGCCCCCAGGCCCTTGAGCCGCCGATCCCCAGCCTGTTGACTGGAGACGTGGTAAGCTGCTTAAAATCTTAAGCACTTTGACTGCACTGCAGCTCATGCCTGTCGTTGAATAAGGCCGAGGCCTCTCGTTACATTGCAACAGGAGGAAAGGGCTATAATTTTGATAAGAATTCTGTAGAAAATACCAAAAGGTTTTCCCTCCAAAGTGCCTTCGCAACTAAACAGTGTACCAAGATCCCGGTGATATTCCCTGTTCTTTCCTCCCTTCCTAAACACCCGAAGCTACAAAGTGCTTCGAGAGTCATCAATTCTGGCCGAAGTCGGTCGTGAGCTGCAATGGAGTTTCAAAACTTGGGAGGTTTCTCCCAACTCCGCAAAGTCTCCATTTAATCTTCAGCTGTCTTAGTCACAGCGACACAAGGGCCTAAGAAGGGCCTAAAGCTGGTCCAGAGAGGATGCTGCGTGTGATGAGTTGCACCATATGGTGCTGCTGTTGGTCCCAGGCAACCCAACATCTACCAGCTATAGCGAACGTTCATTTTGATGCATGCACTAAAAATTGGCACTTGTTAAACATTTACATAACCAGCAGTAGCCATACTGATCGTAAGTAAAAATACATATACGAACTCCATCCAGAACGTAAAGCTTCCCTGGCTTATTCAAGCACAGAAGTGAGCTCCAATGAAGCCGAAGACTTGGCTTTGACCGGAGCCTTGAGATAAGACTCTCTCCGCAAGCAAGTGCCCTCCCTCCCCTGTCCACAGGCATCCTGGCCGATGAGCACAGGGCCTGGGGTTGCAGGTGAGGAGACTGCCGAACTGGAGTTGCAGCGCACCCGGCTGCAGCTGGCCATGCAGGCCAGCCTCACTTGTGAACACAAGGAAGCTTCAACGGAGCTTCTTCTGCTGCATGCTCTACCTCTGTATACACTTATACAGCGTTTGCACTTGCTTGCAGGCAACCTACCAAGGTCAAGTCAATGTTCCCCTGCTACCTGCAGGCAAACCACGTTACACTCCGCAAGCCAATATCATTTGTGGAGGCACCCCCAGCACCGAAGTGCCGATTCTGAGGAAGGTTGGCAAACACGGGAGTTGCTGCAATCTAAATCACACAGTGGTAACCTTCATGCTGTAGAAGGCCGCTGAAAAAAACGAGGACACGGAAGGAGCACAGTGATTGCAGAGGGTAAAATGGGAAACGCTGGGAAGTGACGCTTAAATATTCCTGTGTAAGCATGTACCAGCACCTACAACGCAAGGAGGTGTAAAAGGCTCGTACTTGTAGAACTTGTTCAGCATTGTTCGGTTGAGGCAGCCGCAGTCGCCCTGAGGCTCAAGCATCATGCACCCTGCTGTAGTTGGCCACAGTGCAGCATCCTGTATGTTCTATGACTGTTGACCTGCGTTCAATAATTATTTTGTTGTTACATTTTCGAAGTTTTATGGAAATAGTCGAACTTCACTCCGTACGCTCTCCCAGTCGCGGCGACTAGTAGGGCTTTGGGGGGGCATCGACAATCTTGTCTGTCGTGCTGTCAAGTGTTGTGCGGCTTGTCCGCTTGCTCCGTTTGGTGTATGCATTAAGTTGGATTTTTTGCGGGCCTGTAGCTAGGAGTTGTTCTCAGGATCGCGTAGGGGGGATCGAGCGGCGGAACGAGGGTGTAGGGTCTAGCAATCGGCTGCTCTTCGGGTGTTGCGCCGGTGTATCCGTGGCTGCGCAAGAAGGGGCCCGTTAGGTTTAAGCTCTTGCGCGATAGCGCATGCTTTTGTCAGTGAACTTACAATGGAGCAAACTTCGGCTCTTCGAAGCGACTTGGAGGAACTCGAATCCTTGTTAAAGATTGCCACGCGGCCCGCCGTCCTACGCGTCTTGAATGAGCAGTGTTACAGACTGCGAGACCAGATAAAAGAGGTACTTCAGTGACTGTGCACTTCCCAGTCGGGCTGCATAAAGTGAGGAGATAGCTGTTAAACCCGCTGTGTTTGGCTTGCCATCCGGGAACCAGGGGTGCCAAGTTCTATATTATCCGCTGCCTTGTCTGCCTGTGCAGACAGAACGTCTGGAAAAGTGCGCAGCACAAGGGAATTCTACAGCAGAGGTGCGTCAAGACAGCTCTTGAAAAGGCGAGAACGTGAACATGGTGCATGGTGTGCCTCCCTAGGACAGTGCAGTCGTACTGAGAATATGGATCTCACCTTCGCTTAGTGTGCAGTCTCCTTCTTTGCTTCTAGGTTTTCAATACGGTCGACAGGTTTGCATGGGATCAAACGCCAACATTTGTAAAGTGGGTTCCACTTCCTGACGCTGCCTTGTGTACTGGCTGCCGCTGTAGCCAAATGATGAGAAGGCACGAAGGGGATGGGCACTTTACTGTCTTTATGCATGTCTGTGGCTTCGTTTAGAGTGTATATACATTTGGACGGCCTAACTGACCTTCCGCCTGACGCAACGAGTGTGCGGTTCGAGGAAAATAGCGCAGAGTTGGTGGTACGTTCAGCCCTTGCAAAGCTTCCAACTGCCTAAGGCGTAAGCCAACGTACGCCAGTTGCGGTGCCCAAGCGGAACTGTAGGTTCACCGCTGTGCTCCCTTTACCTTCAGGTGCGGAATCTGCGACAGAAGAACTATATCCTCAAATTCAGTACTCTCTATGCTCCAATTGACACACAGAGTACGGCTTTGCCTTTGCCCGTTCTTGGCCCCCTGACGTTCGCAACTTGAAAATGCGTATATTAGCGAACTAGGCTGCATGTAGCATAGGTTTGAAAGCTCGGCTAGGCGGCCCGTTGATGTTCCTAAGCACAACCGTGCGCTTTGATCATTCTGCGTGTCTCAGAGTCGAACTTCTCCGTAAAACGCGATACTGCAACTCTCCGCCTGGCGAAAGTACGTTTTGCTGCTCTACGGGCTCGATATTTAGTTGAATTAGGTAGGGGTAGTTGCTGCCTCTCAACGGTGATGCGGCTGACTGCCATCGATACTTTTCGCAACTCCCGTTTTTTTTTTACTGCGTGCGCCTGGTACGGCAAATGCAGCTACGCCCAGGAGAACACTGGGAGTCTGTAGCAAAGGCAGCGCAGCCAAATGCGATCCCGAAGATCGACCCGTCTGCGGACCCATCGCAGTCGATCATGAGCATGATGAAAAGCCTGTACAACCAGGTATGCTATCCGCTCAGAAATCAGTCGCGAAAACGCGCATGCACGCATCCGCAGCTTCCGACCGTCTGCTGAGATGATGGGTTTGCTGTTAGCTCCACTATTAGGTATATTTACTGCTCAGTAATTTCGTTTCGACCATTCTGCGATCTCAGGGTGACAGCGAGATGAAGAGAACAATCGCGAAGGCCTGGGTGAGCTGCTGTAGTTTGGTCAGGCCTCAATGGCGCTACCGCACCACTACCAAGCGTAGTTGCATGCACATTGCGTAGTGCTGCCATGCGCATTAAAAGCAGGAACAATTGTGCGTACATGCAAGCCACGTTGCCTTCTGAAGACGGGTGCCGTTAATGTTTGATCTGCGCTGTGTCCGCCCATGTGCAGACGGAGTCACAGGAGAGGAAGATGAAAGGTATTGAAGCAGAAGATGGCCTATTCTAATAAAGTTGAAGTGCACACGTTTAACGTGCTCCCCTGTAGTACTAGCACCTAGCTGCGGATTCTCTACCAGAGGCTTCCGCGTTTTCTTTGGGAAAAATGACGCGCAAACCAGTTTAAGTCCTTGTGACGCTACAACTATATGCTGATGTGCTGTCCTGAAAGCAAGCAACTGAACCGTAGTCGAGAACGCTTTTTCCAACTAGGCTTGAAATAACATCTAGAAACAATGCAACCGAGGCAGCAAAAACAGAGAATAGCCCAAGATGGTTGTCGGAAAACAACCCGACACGTGGAACGCCTCCAATGAGACGCCACCGTCGCAGTTTGTGCTTTACTTTAGAGGGATGAAACGGGAAGAGTGTGTGGCACCGATACCGGGCTTGCCGTGGCGAACTGGCTTGTAGCTGATGGAAAACTCGCCAAGGTAGTAACCTACCATCTCTGGCTGCGAATGCAAACACACAAACAGCAGCGATACAACTCCACTATCGAGTGCTAACACTTCGATGCACAAGCCCAGCACGTGCACTTTATGAGTGCCAAAACTGCTGGGGGAGTCTCTGCAACATATGCAGCACCGCTCAGCCTGCCCTCGGAAAGATGGGAGCGAACCCTTACCTTGATTTCCACGTTAATGAATTGCTTGCCGTTGTAAACGCCAATCACTGAACCGATCATTTCCGGCACCACCACAACATTGCGAAGGTGGGTATTCACAGGGGGGGGCTTCTCGCCATATGGTAAATCCTTCTTCGCGTTCCTCAACTTGTTCATAAGGGGCAACGCCTTCTGGTTGATGCCGCGGCTGAACTTGCGGCGCTGGCGAGCGCGGAATAGATCTACCAGCTTATCAAGGGGAAGTGTCACCAACTTCTCCAAGTCCACGCCGCGGTAAGTAAACGTGCGGAACGTCCTCTTGCGGGGGGCCGTCGCGTCTTCCGCCTGAACACCGAAAGACCACAGCCCACGCCTTTTTGACACCCGTCTGCTATCAAGCTATCTGAACTTGGAAAAGCTGCCTGGTTAGCTAAAAACGCAACATGCCACGCTTCCCAACAACCCCGAAGCCGCATACACACAAGTAGCTACGGGGGGCCAACCACGCCCATAGCATCCCCCCGAGGCCCAAAATTTTGAAAAAACTCCATAATGAGGAATATATATGTACGCGCCACTTAAACATAAAACCATGAAGCAAATTTCATATCACCAATGACCACGCATGCCGTTGGCCACGCGTGGTAGGGGGCTGACAACCGAGGTTATCGTCCCTCCAAAACGAGAAACCTTGTCAATTCATTAACAACGCAGAAAGCCTTTACGTTTCCCATGACACAGAAGAAAATATGAAGGGAAGGCAACATTAGGCCGCGCCTACACAGTACAAAGAGAGAGCTGCAGACTGCCCAGGCAAGGAGACGCGGAACGCATCCCGCCAGCAGAAAAAGCCAGTTTTAACCCACCATTTTGGTCCAATGGAGAGTTAACTCGACGCGAAGGGTAAAGAAGAGGAGTTTTTGTCAAATTCCGCTGAACAATCAAACTCCTGAAACGCCCGGCTGGCCCCGCAAACCCCATCCTAGAAGCGCTCTGTCTGCAGAGGCAGCCCCAAGCCCCACGCATGTGCTGTGGCGGCCAAAACAAACGCTCACCAACGAAGTACACGAATGCATACTTGATTGCAGAAAACATAGAAGATATTCGGAATTTTTGTTTTCATTATCTTTGCAAGCGTGCATGCACTGCTCGTTTGCATCGCCTAGTCCACCTGCCAGGCATTGTGTAACACGGTTTGTCTTATTTCGGTACGTGCATTTCGACCTTCGTGCAGGTTGGCTACTGAAGGCCAAGTAAGTGTTGAAGGATTACCTATAGCTTTGGGACACTCATCAGTAGTTGGATTGGCCATCATTGCAAGTGTCGCGTGCTCGCCTTGCAGTATATGTAACAAGACTCTTCAATAGAGCATTGTAACAAGAGTCGTAGACCTTATTCGATGGAGGTCACGAGCTTCAATGAAGCGAAAGCACTCAGAATAATAGATTGTCAAAAGCAGCTGACATCTCCCTCTTGTTCAGAGGCGCCGTGGGCACAATTGCTCAGGGCCTGTGTGTAGTGCGTGAGCCGTACAAGTGAATAGATGCGTAATATTCTAGTTGGAATATGAGACAAGTACGCTATTCAGAGATTCTCAGACATATTAATGGCAGAATAGCGAACGAAACGCATAGCTGAACAGTCAGAGCTTCATAAGCGGGAGCTATACAACGTAACGCAGGCCGGCGGCAACCGGACGTATTCACCAGGAGGACGGGAGACCGAATACGGAAGCTCCCCCAGCGACCTCTGGAGAACGGCCGTTCGGCCACCCCCTAGATAGACTGGACTTACGTTTTTCGGGATGTTTTCCAGAAACTAATACACTCATACACTAATGCACTCAGCTTCATTTGTTCATGTCTCCGCCTCGGCTATCGGTAGTGTTTTTTCGACAGACCGCTGACTAGCCAATACAGTAATAGCTCTTATGACCATTTCTGCTTATCGTATTGGATTTCTTATATATATATATATATATATATATATATATATATATATATATATATATGGCGACAGAGAGAGGAAGAGACATTGGCTTCCATATGTTGCATACTTCTCCAGCTAACCTGGAGGCTCCCTGGAGAACCCCAGGTCATCACACTTTGGTTGCGGCAGAGGAGGCGTTGAGGTGAGTGGCAGTGCACCTCGCTGCAACTAAGGATGCAGGCACAGCCAAACTTCCTTTTCTGCTCGCATTATTTCGGTGTGCACTTGCTGAGCACTTTCATTTGCTTGTAGGGAACTTGCCGGCGCCACGTCTGAAGTCTATTTTCTGCACGAACAAACACTATAGACGACTGCTGAACGCTTACTTCACCGTCTGTGGCCAGCCTGGACGCAAGCAGGAATATGCAGACAAACTACGCACAGAAAGTGCTATATGGGGCACTTGGGCTGCCGCTCCCAGGGCTCATTGTGGCTTTCTGTATGTATCTGGCTGATTTTTTGAAACTCTTGTGCAAAGCGTTTCGATTTTATTCCAATTCGCAGCGGCCCTCAGGTAAGGCTGAGGACTCGTGACACATGTAATTATCGGATTGTGCAGGCCACTACTGAGGCCAAGTAAACGTTCAGCAGTATTCTTGTATGTAGCAGTGCATATTTGGGTGTGCTGATACGCGGCCTTCCACGTAGATGCAGTTGCACCGATGCACCTGGCACCTCATGCCACATCGCGCGTTCAGGCCCGCCGCAAGCAACTTGGGTCGCCGTAACCAAGCCGTCTGGAGAGTGGACGGGTTGTAAGCTGCTTTTTGGAAGCTTTTGCATCGAGGATTTTGACTCTATTGCAGTTCATGATCGTTCTGGTATACGGTAAAGGAATCGCGTTACAGAGACGACTACATGCCAAGCAGATGGCTCGTATGCAGCAAGGCGAGGGCTGGCCACTCTTACGAAAACTGGCATCAAATAGTGTGAGGGCATGCCCGGTTCTCGGAGCATCAGCATACTTCGAGAAACACGACTTACCTACATCAGCCCCCTCTAGCCGCCTGCACAGTTGTGGCAATGGGCTGTCTTAGGGGTGGCGGCTGTAATCACTTGGATAGATTCGGCCCTACATGGAAATCAAATACTTCAAAAAAGATTGTAACTGAGCACGCTGAGCTGCAGACAGCGCTTTGCTTACTACAGGCTGTGCCTTGCGTGCCCAGCTGCCCCAGTGGCTCCACATGGGGCGCGCGGTCCAGCGGTGCGCTTGTATACCGCGACGGCAAGAAGTGAGGAAATTTTTGTGCAGTTTGCAGGGGTATATGCAGACGAATAAGAATAGTACAATATAAAAGGGTATAAACGGGCTTTATCTGCAGGAAGAGCCCCGACAGGGCGGTCGTGAGTGGGCGCGAGGCAGCGACAAGCACGGAGCCACTGTGTGCCAATTTCAGCTGTACATCCACCCTATTAAATATCTGTATACATTTACAGTGATAAGCATTTAGACCTCAGTTGTTCATATCTCCATGGCGCTGCCTCATCCTCGCCTCCCTCGGGGGCCCCACAGCTCAACAACTCCTTTTGTTTCTTTATCGCTTCCCTGAGCAGTCTGACGCTCCCCCAAGTCTCAAAGCAGTAACAGAAGATCACTTCTATCTCCAAGGGCCGTTGGTTGAGCGGCTTCTCGTGGACTGCTCGGGACCTTGCTTGGCGTGCAAGGCGCAGGACCGTATGTCCCACCGTCTCCTTCCCCCTGCCATTATTAGGTGTGCATTGAATAGGTTGCATGCTGCATCGCTGGGCGGAGCTCTTCTTCCTCTTCTGGGGTCGCAGGGAGCTCCCCTTGGCACCTCCTTGGCAGGCATCGTAAAGTCAAGGCAGAAGGAACCGCCCCCGCGTGAGGGCGGAGAGGCCCCTCTGGATACTTGAGTGGGGCTTCTAGATAGGAAGGCATGCAGCCATGGCGTGGAGCAGCGGGGGCCCCAAAGAGGCAGCTGTAGGGGAGGGGCCTTCGGGCCCTTCTCCTGGCCCCACTGTGGCCAAGGGAGGCCCCCAAGCGGGAACTCCTTCTGTGGCACAAGCCGAACAGCCTCTAGGAGCTTTGGATGCGGTTTACAAGGAGGTTTCAGGCACGCAATCTCCGCCTGCAGCTGGAGTGAGGAAGGCCCATGATGGGGGGGCGTCCCCAGGGGCGTCAGCAGATTGGCAGGGGGGCCCTATATACAATGCTGCGATAGGGTACGCCTTGCAGGGGCCTCTGGCGCGGGAGGGTCTGCAGGGGGGGTTGCTGCCTGCGCGTGTGGTATATGAGACGCCGCTGCAGTCCCGCAGCCGCGAGAGGACGGGGGGTGGCGGCGGGGAAGGTTTAATAAAGTGGTGGTTGTTGATGCTGATGACGCTGAACACTTTGGCGTCTTGTTGGGGTCTTTGGGAGCTGCGTCAGCGGACAGCGCAAATCATTCATGCTCAGGAGGCGGCTTTGGGGGAGCTCACGGACACGATCCGGCGTCGCGTGTTACCTGTATTTGATCAGAATCTCTTCCCCGACACTTTGATACCTTCGCCTGTGGACTCTTTAACGCGTCAAATCTTCAACGACTGGGGTGGACCCCGAGATGAAGTTCCCCCTATGCAGAATTCGGATGAGGACGCCTCGCCAACCCGGCACATTCCGCCGCGACTACCGCTGCTGGCAGGCAACCTGGAACAGAGCAGACAGCGGCGCCCAGCGCCGCTGCCTGACTTCTTGCTGAGCCCCACCGTCCCCAATGCGCCTACTCTTAACTTTGTTGACATTCCCCCACAGTCTCCCCTTCCCCCAAAGTGGAGCTCACCCAGCGATCACCCATAGCACCAGCGTTTATGTGGGGGGGCGGGGGTGGAGGAATTGGCGGGGAAGGGCTTCTCTCTCTCCCTCTCTCTCTTCGTCATGTTCAAGAGTCGGCGCCAAAGATGCATCGCGTGTTAAAGGCTTCGGCTTCTCTTCGGCACCGCCTCGGGAGAGGAGGCAGCAAACCGCTCTTCTCGCTCTTTGCTGCAGGGGCAGCTGCTGCTTTGTTTGCTGCTTTCGCTGCTGCTAAGAGCGACAGAGACAGCTGCAGCAAGGACTGTAGCAATGGCCGCAGCAACGGCTGTAACAAGGGCCACAACAAAGCGGGGGCTGCACGCTGCTCCACGTGCTGCAGCAAGGACTGCAGCAGGCTATGCAGGGTGGAGCGCCAAAGGGCACTGGGGTGGCAGAATCGAGCCGGGCCAATGCGAAGGCGACTCGCGTGAAGTGTACGTGGCTGATTGCTAGGCGTAGCACGTCTCAAGTGTTTGTTTGAGGTTTTAAATACATAAGCGTGTACAAGGTCCCTTAGGGATGGGAGGGGAGGCACACCTCTCCGCTTGTCAGGGACATGGGTGTTACAGTCCCCTGGCTCTGCATCCAACACCAGAGCCGAATAAGATGGGAAGGAGCAGCGCCAAAGGCGATGCTTAGTTGGGGAAACACTCAGTTTAGTTGTTTAAGATACTTTGGTTATGGTTGTACTTTGTTTGGATGTAAGGACTCTGTTTAAGCGTTAAGACACATTATTAAGTAGTACAGTCAACACGAACGAGCTGATGTTGGACGGGAGACACTTGGATGTGGAGACACACTTTCTTTGGCTCTTGAGACACTTCGTTCCGTTACTGTGGAAATGCTTCACCGTGTCCACTCGTTGACATATGGGGCTACGCCGTTCACAGTAGTTGCATAGAGACTTTAGTGAGGTGGGCGCGGAGCGCATCTCATGTCGGTTGCTTGGCCAGTTGAGTATTTGTACAGACATACAGTTTAATACTGAAGATGATGACAAATCAAGCTTCCCCCCGAGCGACGCCCTACGGGACGGAACAATTAGACCCTGAACTGAATTCTAACGAACTCCCTCAGGCGGAGCTATTCCCCCCTAGGAGTTGACCAGCCTCTTGTTGCATGGGCCGTTGAATTGCGTTTGCCGTATTTCTGCTGTTTTGAGCATAAGCAAAGGACTGTCTGTTACCTTGTTGCGGCTCTCCTCGACTAAGCCTCCAGAGGAGGGGTGACCTCGCTGGCTGGCGCGGCAACCCCCCGGCCAACAAGGCGTAGAGAGTTTCGAGTTCAACTGATATTTCGCGAAGCTAAATAAGAATCATCAGTTTGCTAATTTGTACAGGACTAGTGGCAAACTGTCTCTACAGCTACGAACGACGAGGGTCTGTCTCCTCAACCGCTCTGGGCCCCGCCGCCAGTTTTCATTATCTTGAGGGACAAACACTGGAGCATCTGCCTTCTTCTGCAGAAAGGAGGGCGTTTGGTTGCATATCAAACTGCATTTCATTTAAACGCCTTACTAGGCACATCATCTTTGCATTGTATCGAGATATCGGTGAGGCAGCTGCAACAAAGAGAGACATGGCTGCCGACGCGGGCAGCGGCTGGCCCTTCACAAGGTCCCTTGAGGGGGAAGCAGCAGAAGAAGACGGGGTAGGGCCCATTGTATAAATAAATAGGGAGAAAAACACAGCAACTGAATCCCCACCAACCAGCAAGGCGCGCCCCACAGGCCACGCTTAATGCAGATGAAAGACGGACATGAGCCCCGTAACCAGGGCCATGCGGCTGTCTGTACATCGCACACTCTGCTCCTCAACACTTGGCAGCGCCTTCACATCAAATACAAGCAGCTCCTCCTCATCCCGGCCTCGGACAAACAACTACACATCCCGCAATGCGCCCGGCATACGGGCCCATTGAGTTAGCTTTTAGGGTTTAGCGTTTAGGGTTTAGGCTTCTGGGCTGGCGTAGCCCGACGGAAACTGTTCGCTTAAACTATCCAGCTAAAGTCGAGACACTGCACTGTTGCCTGCTTAAGCTTGAGGATATTCCTGTTGCATTTGCGCCTCAAACTGCTGTAGCCCAACGACAGTTCTCTCCCTCCCCAGATGTGCGCCATCTCCTCAAAATTCCCCTCAAAGAAGAAGGATGTTTCTGTCTAGTGAAAAAAGTAGCTACACGAACCGAGATAGAGAGCCGAGGTCTCTAGCTGTACTGACCTGAGCCGGAAACCCATACGAAAGACAACAAAGGAAGCCTTAGCTTGTTTACAGATACTCCGGCCCCCAGCGAAACTGTGTTCGGCATTTTGAATGCTGTCTTCCTTAAGCCTCTGCTGGCGCAGGCTGAACGACACCCCGGCAACGGTAGAGCCTTCGGCGGCGCCTCTGTCTCTCCTTCACTCGTGCTCTTTTTCCTTTTTTTCTCGAATTGGGTTGCTGCAGTTTCCGTCTCCTGAGGAGAGTGCCGCGTGGCTGAAAGAAGGCCTCAGTGGGCTGCAGCAGACGCCACCAGATGGGAGGTTGGGGAACGTCCGTCTTTCGCTTTCGGGAAGAGGCCTGGGGCAGCTGGTTCTACTATGCGACTTCACTAAGCTGCTGCTCCTTGATGTATCCCACAACAAGCTCAGCAGCCTATATCCCGTTCGCCTAGCTGCAAACCTCGTTCGACTTGACGCCCAAAACAACCAAATCAAATCTGTATCCGAGCTCTCCGCAAACCCCAAGCTGGAGCACGTCAACCTCAGCAACAACCTCATCACCGCTCTAGGTGGCATCAAGAAACCCTAAACCCAAAACCCTACACTCTAACCTCTCAGTGTACCGTCTCCAAAACAACACTGCATTGAAAGTCACTTCGGGGCTTGGGGCACAAGAAACGAGGCCACCGTAGCTTAGGTGAACTGGGTGGAGAGGTAAGATGAGCCGGCGGCGAGCAACGGGTTGAGCGGGGGTATGCTCGGCCCTTCTTTGTTTGTATTTATGGGGTCAGGTGACTGGCAATTCAACGTCCGTTTACGTGTGCTCCGGCTCGCCAGCAACCGAATAGCCTCTTTAAAGGACGGTAGCTTGGAGAAGAACACTTTACTAAGGGAACTGGATATCAGCCACAATGCAGTTGACTCACTCGAGTATCTGCCCCATCTCAAGTGTCTAGACACTCTATATGTCAACAATAATCAACTAAAAAGCCTTGAAGGCATTCAACGAGCTCCCCATGTAGTTATACTTCATGCCGAGGTCCGTCCCTTCCCGTCTCCGTTGTTTTCGCTAGCTGAGCGGGGCCGCTATCTACGAAGTACTAAATATAGAAACATATATTTCATATGCGCCTCCTTTTTGCTTGAACAGAGCAACAAGTTGGAAACCCTAGAGCCCCTAGGACTCGGGAGGAACGGCCTGTTGCGAGAGCTGTACATACAGCATAACGCTGGCCTGGAACAACCGCTGCAATTGTCACCGCTGAAGTCAACAGAGGCCCTGCAGAGCCTGCACGTGGCGCCAGGACCAATGGTATCTTTTCCTCACTGGCGGCTGCACTGCGTGCACATGTTGCCGCAGTTGCTCCAGATTGATGGGGTAACTGTGACTGCAGAGGAGCAGGTGAGACTCCGCCTGAGCTTTCCTACTGCACCTGTAGCCTACAGACGATCCGTAGCGACTGACGCTGCTCCAGCTGCAGCTACTGATGCAGCAGCAGCTGCTGCTACTGCTCTTTCGCTGCGCCTCGCAGTTCACTGCAGCTGAGGCCTTCGGGGACCTGCTCTACGCCCAGAGAAGAGTGTGGGAGGCGCTTATCCCCGATGAACCGTTCGTTGATCGGCGTCTTCTGAAACTGGACGAGCCAACAGCAGCAGACTCCACAGATCCTGTGGTGTTTTCCGACACTTAACATGTAGTATCGTCACCATATCTGCTGCTGCAGCTGGTGTTGCTGCTGCTGTTGCTGCTGTTACGGATGTCAGTAGTCAGAAGCAGTCTCAGCAGCAGCTGCATCCAAGCAGCGCGTATCCCTGGGGAGGCGCGAGCATGGACTAACAGCAGTTCCGAATACATCTGAAGGCGTTTGCATCGTAATCAAATGCATGTATTAAAAAAAACAAGTATTCGTTTGGCGTTTAGGGTTTAAGGTTTCACTAGAGGCCTCGAGGGTTTCGTGTGGGTGTAAAGACTAAAGCCACAAATTGTCACAAGCTCAACTGAACTTAACACAGAAGAGCTCCACCTAAGATGAATATTTCTGTGAAAGGTATAGTAGAAGATGGTGTGTGCGAGTAACTACATTGAACAGTCCCTGGGATTGTCCCTACTGAACCAAACAGCTCCTCTCTCAACCCAAAACCCTAAACCTGAAACCCTCATCAGCTCCAGTTGGTGACAACAGCAACACCACCAGCATGACTGTCCCATTCACTCTCCTGCGGCAATACGTCTCCCGAAGAAACCCTTCTTACAGGCAGAACACTCATCTGCTGCTGCCCCGCAACGGCCTCCAGATCCAGCGAGGCCGCTCCGAGGGTTGGCGCTGCTGTTTTGCGTGTTGCTGCAGCAGCAGCTGCTGTTAGCAGCCGATGCTCTTGGCGTTGCCGCCGCTGCTGCTGCTGCTGCCGTTGTCAGTATTCCTCTACGGGGGAGCCTTTTGTGGCGTTTCAGCAGCGGTCTCCAGCTCCAACGAGGTCGCTGCAGGGGTTGACGCAGTTGTTGCTGTTGTTGCTGCAGCTGACGTTGTTGCTGCGGCTGCTGCTGTTCCTGTTGATGTTGCTGCTGTTGCTGCTGTCGCCGCTGCTGTTGCCCCTGGAGACAGAGCAGCAAGTGCGTAGCAATATGCCGTGTAGCATGCCATGTACGTTGCTGCATCGTCTGCGGCGCTTGCCGCTGCCATCTGCTGCACCAACATCTGCAAGTGTGCTGCTGCTTCGGGGGAAATCTGGCTCTGTGCTGCAGCAAAATAGGCCGTAGTGCTAGGGTCAGCGGCGGCCATCGTAGTTGCTGCTGCTGTTGTCGCCTCTGGCGCTGCTGCTGCTGATTGTCCTGCAACCACCCCGAAGTTGTGTGGCGTTGCTGTTGCAACAGCTGGCATTGCTGTTGCAACCGCTGGCGTTGCTGCGGCTGCGTCGTCGGTGGAGCTCTTTTTGACACCGTCGCCGGATCCTGCTGCAGCAGGAGCTGCTGCTGCTGCTGCTTCCACTCGTTTCAGATAATCAATACTTTGGTTATCCTGCGCTTCGCCTGATAGCCGCTTGCACTCCTGCAGCAGCTTCTGCTTCCGCTGCTGCAGGTGGTGATTCAGCTGCAGCCGCGCCATGAAACTCCGAGCCTGCACACACAGCAGCAACAGCAGCAGAAGCAGCAGCATATGGAGGAGTAGCGCCGGGAGGTCGTCAGCAGCAGGGGGGTGCGTGGCAACGCAGCAGTTGCCGGGGCCTCCACTCAAGCTGCAAGCAGGGGGAGTAGTTGTCTGTGCAGCAGCAAATGTCTGTCTCATTTTCAGGTGTTTACATCAATCATAAAAACATCCATAATATACATAAATGATGGTCTACATACATCATAAACACATATACGTTTATCTATATAACTACACATAGACATATTCTTATGTTTATATATATATATATATATATATATATATATATATATATATATATATATATATATATATATATATATATGTCGTTTCTAGGGTGCGTTGAGGCGAACCCATTCATGAGTAGGTCCTGGCAGGGGCTGGGGTTTGATGAATCCTTCCTTTTGAATCTCCGCCTCCACACACTTCAGCACGTATCTGCAGCAAACAAATACAAACTAACTGCTGCTGCTGCTCCTGCTATTGCTGCTATTGCTGCTATTGCTGCTATTGTTGTTGCTGCTATTGCTGTTGTTGCTGCTGTTGTCGCTGCTGTGGCTGCTCTTGGTTTGAGCCGGTAGTCACCTGAAGTATCGGAGGTCCATGGAGGAGGTCCTAAGAAAGGGGAAGGGAGAAGCATCGTCTTCGTACTGCAGCGTAGCACAATCCATTTGCAGCCCCAAAAACAATGAATGCCTTTGCTTGCATGCATGCACGAAGGCAACCGCCCTTGCATGCACACATACATGGAGACAAACACTACTGGTATACTCAGCCCCACACCCTGCCCCCAAACTTACCGTCTTAGCATGCTGAACCAGCGACACGTCTCCTGCAGTGAGCAGCTGGTACCCCAGCTGTTGTATGGCGAGAGCAGAGGCCTGCACGACACAGACAGAGCAGACCCTCGGTCTTTAACCTCTTACCGCAAACCCTAAACCCTAGCCACTACGTTTCTCCTTGTCTTTATCAAGCAGATACAGCAGCGTAGCTGTACTCGCTAGGGTTTAGGGCCTTTAAGGATTAAGGTTAGCGGGTTTGGGGATCTAGCGTTGGGGGTGTAGAGAAGGGCAGCCCCCTCTCCAGCATGAAAAATACAGAAAATGCAACAAAGACCCTCCAGCGTGCCTTCGCCCCGGCAGCGGGAGCAGAAACAAAAGCAGCAGCAGAAGAAGTAACGGCAGCAGAAAGCAGCAACAACAACAGCAGCAGCAGCAACAAAATCAGCAGCAGCAGTGTGACCCCACCTTAGACAACCCCAGTTTGTTGTTTGGCTGGGCCCAAGGGGATTTGGTGGGTAGGGCATCCAGCATTGCATCGATGTCTTCTTCTTCAAGGTTTTCTTCGCGTTCTATGGATATGCTTTGCGGTTTTTTTTTCTTAAGAGAGAAACGAGTTACACGCAGAGATCTCCATAGTGCTGTCAAGTCCTTCGAGTTGCTGCTGCTGCTGCCCCCCTCACCGTCAGAGTCCGAATTCTCCTCTTCCGAATTGTCGCTACCATCGTCCCCCTCTGCTCCTGCTGCTTTTGCTGCTGTCGCGGATGCTGGGGATGCTGCTGCTGCCGCAGCTGCTGCTGTCGGCGGTGCAGCAGGGGGCAAAGGCGGGGCAGGAGGAGGTTTTTTCTTTAGTATCGGCGCTGCTTGTGGGGGGACCGCTTTCACGCTGCCGTCCTGTTGTGTCTTACTCTGGGACTGCTGCTGCTCGCTTTCATGTTGTTGCTGCTGTTGCTCTTGCTGCTGCTTTGGCTGCTCCTGTTGCTGCTGCTTCGGCTCCTCCTCCTTCGGCTGCTGCTGAGGAGACTCAGCGTCATCCTCGTCATCGTCACTGCCATATGAAAGCAGCAACCCCAGCCCACCGTCAGGGTCGTGCTTCGGCTGTTCCTGCTGCTGCTGTTGCTGCTTCGTCTGTTGCTGCTGCTGTGATTGTTGCTTTTGCTGCAGTTGCTGCTGTTGTACCTCGTGGGCTTCTTCCTCTTCCTTTTTGACCTCTGCAGTCTGCTGCTGCTGCTGTTGCTGTTGCTGCTGCTGCTGCTGCTGCTTGTGCAGGTCCGCTGTGCAACCGAGAGAATAGGCGAACTCAAGCAGAGCCTTTATGCGGGGTGGAAGCAGCGCAGCCCCGCATGTAACCAAAGAGTGTCCCTGTTTCTTAAGCCAAGTATAAAAGGGGTGCAGGCGGTGACTAGAAGCCAGAAATGGCAGCCGCCTCTCCTCGTCCAGCAGCAAACGAAACTCCATTCGCTCGCCCTCCTGCAACACAAACAGATCCAGCAGCAGCAGCAGCAGCAACAGCAGCAGCAGCAGCAGCAGCAGAGAAAAGCACAGACACATGCAGAACAGTTGCTGCACGCCAACGGCCTATACACGAACAGCCGCTACAGCAAGCAGCCAACGCTGGCCCACCAAGACGAACCTGAAACAATGAATCCGCTAACCCTAAACCCTAAACCCTGAACGATGAATTCCATAAACCCTAAACCCTAAACCCTAAACTTTTGTTTCTTGTGGCGCACCTCTCGGACAAAATGCGCCGTGCGCTCAACCACTAAATATTCCCTCAGATTTTCAGGGAGGCTAATATCCGTCGGCAGGTCTGAGAACGGGGGAACAAAGCAGTCTTTGCTTTGCTGCTGCTGCTGCTGTTGTTGCTGCTGGTGTTGCTGCTGCTGCTTGCCAGGCTGTTGGGTGTTTTGCTTCGGAGACTTGTCGGCCTGGGTATTTGGGCCTGCAGCGCCGCAGCTGCTGCTCTCCGGAGACTGCTCTTCTGCTCCCTCCTCTGTTGTTGCTGCCGCTGCAGCGTCGTGTTCGCGCTGCTCCGACGCGGCAGAAGACGTCGGCTCAGCTGCAGCAGCAGCAGCAGCAGCAACAGGCAACACAATCGCAACGGAAGCTTACATTCGCAGTCCCTGCCGCTGCGGGAACGAACTGCAACAGCGGCCCCCACGCCCATGACAACTACAGCAGCAGCAGCAGCTAGAACAGCAGCAGCTAGAGCGGCAGCAGCAGCAGAGTGAGCAAGAGGCTGCACAGCAACGTACCTGTGGCTGCTGCGGTGGGTTCAAGAGCGTCTGGGGGCGGAACCGCGCTGTAGTCGGGGCTGCGCAGACCATAACCCCACAGCAGCAGCTGCTAGTTGTTGTTTATGTTTCTTTGAGTTTCTGGGTATAGGGTATAGGGTATAGGGTCTAGGGTATTTTGGTGTTTGTTTTGTATTCTGTTTACAGTGCAGCAACCACAACATACAACAAATACACGAAAGGGAAATCCTTACTCACCCGTCCGGGGTCGGGGCAGCGTCTCCGAGCGGTGCTGCAGAAGATGGTGCTGCACTCATCGTGCGTTGCTTTTTCCTCTGCTGCTGCTGCTGCTGCTCCAGTGTAGGCGTCCACTGCGTCTGCTCTTGCTGCTGCTGCTTCGCCGGCGGCAGCTCGTCGGAGAAGGCCGACCGCCGCGGAAGGTCCTGAAGACAAGCCAGGGATACCAACAGACAGTCGATCCCCGCGTATTAGGGTTTAGGGTTTAGGGTTTAGGGTTTACCTCGTAGCGCATGCTTTCTATCTCGGAACTTTCCTGCAGCTCCGCAAGCCGCCGTTCTTCGCTGCAGTTCTGACGCGCGAAGGAAGCCACGTCGCCCAGCAGCAGCCGCACATCGTAGCTGCAGCAACAGCAGCAGCAGCAACAGCAGCAGCAGCAACAGCACTGGCCGCCTCGAAAACTGGCGAGAGGAGGGGAGGGACCGGGAGGTTAGCCCAGGGGGTAAACCAACATATTACAAAGTGTAAGAAAACAAAAACACGAACAGCAGCAGAGGCACATGAAGCAGATAGAACACAGAGACAACAGAGGGACGACACAAACAGGGAAACACAGGACACATGCATATATATACGTATATACATATATATACATACATACATACATATATATATATATATATATATATATATATATATATATATATATATATATATATATAAGATAAAGACACAGCTCGAGACACAGAGACGGAGGATGGCCGAAGGACGACGGAAGAAGAAAGGCAACAGGCACCGCCAGGAAAGAGCCGAGACAAAGGAGACAGAAATAGAGACTGAGAAGAAGCAGCTAGCATGTACACTGAGCAACAAATACAACTGCAACTGAGAGAGCAGAAGACAAAGTCAGCAGAAGTGAGACAAAAAAAAACAAAGACAAAGACAAAGACAAAGACAAAGAAATGCCCCCACCGATCTACAAGAATTTCTTCACCCTTCACCTCAATCTTTATAAGGCGGTTATCAGATTCAGAAACAGAGTCCCGGTTGCTGCCAAAGCGGCAAGCAGTTCCTACAACACAAAGGCCGCTGCTGCTGCTGCTGCTGCTGCTGCTGCTGCTGCTGGCGCTGCTGCTGCTGCTGCTCCCGCTGCTGCTGGAGGAGCTGCCCATCCGCCCACGCGCCCCCCAAACGGCGGATGCCATTTTCGTCTAGCCCCCTCAACCCTTCTCTTCAGTCCCTCATAAACCCTAAACCCTCGATTAACAGTGAAGAATCATAAACCCTAAACCCTCAATTAGCAGTGCACAACAACAAACCCTTTGCCTTCACTTAGCACTACAACATCACAGACTCTAAACCCTCGATTAGCAGTGCAGAACCATAGGCCCTAAACCCTCCATTCGCAGTACAAAACCAAAACCCTCGATTAGTAGAACAACCTGCAACAAAAACAGAGGGCTATGCTGGCCTCGGCCGAAGCACAGACAGCCGGGAAGATATATACAAACCGCGTTTGCGATCAAGTCCAGAAGCAAAGAATTAAATTAATGGGGGAAGCCTCACGGAGGCGAAGAGGCGGCAGCTGCTATGCTCGGGTGTTTGTACACCCCGGTGTCGGTGTGGTGTCTCCAGAGGGAGCATTAACTTCAAACACATATTCACCTCATTTAATTAACCTCATTTATATCTATATAACAATGATATATTTCAATTTTCAGGCAAAAGGAGAGCCGAAAATCCTTCAGGGGGCCCCTGGGGCCCCGTCGGCGCAAACGCTGGCTTTGCGCTGCATGCAGCTGCATGCAGCAGCGCTGCAGCTGTATTTTCCTGGGTTGCTACTGATACTGCTGCTGCAAGAGATGAACCGATTGCTGCTGCAGCAGGAGGGTCTCTTCGGTGTCCTCCCAAGCAGATAATTTTATCTGAGGCTAGCAGCAGCACACGCAGCAGCAGCTGCGGCTGCTTGCTCTTGATTGTTAGTGAACCGAAGGAGCCGTTACTGCAGCAACGGAAGCTGCAGCACGATCTGCTGCAGCGCCAGATGCTGCATTACGAGCCGCAGTTGCTGCTGTTGCTGCTGCGGCAGCAGCACGCGCGGTTGCTTCTTTCCGTGTAGTAATAACTGGAGCATTACTTTCTCCTCCTTCTACCTGTCTGCATGCGTGCATGCATGCATGCATGCATGCACTGCATCAACCATTTCTGTTGTCATTTTCATTTCTTTCACAATGTTTTTTGTTATTGAGCGCTGGGAATCCGTCGCCCTGCGGCCCTCGCAACTCGGCCCCGAATATCTAGCCAGCGTGGAGGCGCTGCTGCGGCAGCAGGTGGAGGGGAAGTGTCTGCAGAGTGTGGGGTGAGCATGCACGCATACACCTCATGCACTGTATGTACACCTCAAACGAAAAGGAATGCAGCGGACCTACACCTCACACTGCGAGGGCTGCAGTGTATGTACAAATCAAACAGCAAGGGATGCAGTGTATATACACCTCAAGCTCTCTGTTTTGGCTGTGGTGCATGTGTGTACTTCTCATGGGTTGTGTACAGCGTGTGTTTTCTTATGTTTTCTTGTTCGCCTTTTCTTTAGCTTTCTGCTTTCTTTGTTTCCTTTCTTGCTGTTGCTCCCTGTATCTGCCTCTGGTTTGTTGTATGTATGTTTATGATTGCATCTGTTTGATGGAGAGGGGTTTAGGGTTTGTGTTGCGGTGTATGTACAGCTACGTCGTCTGTGTAATCCGCGTACTGCAGCATCTACCCGGGAGGATTCAGGACTCAACAGGACTTGTTGTTGTAGCTGCCAAATACCAGGCAATCGTTTTTAAACCTTTTAAGGAGGAGGTACATATATATATATATATATATAATCTATGTTTGCCCTTGAACTTACTATATTATATATATATATATATATATATATATATATATATATATATATATATATATATATATATATATATATATAATTTGTAGTGTATTTCCACTTTATTGCGCAGGTTTTGGACGCTGTAATAACTGATGTAAACAAGCTCGGCCTCTTCGCTCAGTGCGGCCCCCTAAAGGTCTTCGTTTCGAGGGCTTCTCTCCCCCCCACCTACACGTTTCAGGTGCAGTGAAGCTCAAACCCTAAACCCTAAACCCTAAACCCTAAACCCTAGTTTGTTTCAGCGTGCGTATGACACTGTTCAAATAGCTATATATAGAGTTGCGTTGCTGCTGTTGCTTGCGCTTCTTCTCCCCTATCCACTTTTGCTGCTGTTGCCCCAGCTGCTGCTGCTACTCCTACCACTACTGCTGCTACTCCTACCACTCCTGCTGCAACAACTACAACTGCTGCTGCTGCTGCTGCTGTTGCTTTCAGGAAGAGGATGCAATGCCGAGCTTCTCAGACGGTTCTCTTGCCCTGCGGTCTGGGGGAGAGATCCGCCTGAAGCTGCTGGGTGTCCGCTTCGAGGCGAGCCAAATATTTGCAGTGGCCACAACCAACGGCGACTACTTGGGGCCCATAGAACCTAGAGAGACTTCAGCTGCATGAAGCTCATCGAAACACAATCTCATCTGTGCTTCCTGCAGCAGATAATGCAAAGGCTGCTGCTGCTGCACCAGCGGCACCAGCTATTGCAAACACTGCTGAGGCTGCTCCTGCTGCCTTAGCTACCACTGCTTATGCTTTACCTGGTGCTGTAGCGGATGTTGCTGTTGCTGCATCTGCATTAGCTGGAGCTGCTGCTGCAGAAGAAAGAGACACAGCCGCTGCTTCTTTTTCTTCTGCTGCTGAGGCTTCCCTGCACATCCAGGCACATAGGGGGAGCGCCAAGAGGGCCTCCCTGCTAGCGGGCGACGCGGCGGTGCTGCGCTGCTCGGCTCCACAGGAGCAGAGCAAGGGAGGGGGAGGGGGGCGTCAGTTGGACTCCTGTTTTGAATTTGTGAAGAGGACTGACACAGCAGACAAGGGCCAGCCTCGCCCGCTAGCCGCATGCAGCATGTCTCGAGAACTTAGGATTTAGTTTCTCAAAGAATACTCGAACAAAGAGAGGCAAACTTGCCTCTCCACTGCCCGCCGGAAAGGGAAACGGGCAGGCAAACGCTACGTAGTGCACTGACAACGTGCGGTGTACGGGCACGTCGGAGTGTACTGAGAACGCGCAGTGTACAGGCAACGTTCAGTGTACAGGCAATGCGCGGTGTACAGAGAACGTGCAGTGTACCGGCAACGTGAGGTGTACAGACACCTGCTGCACCTCCGCTCGCTGTCACTGGGGCCGCCGGTGGAGGAGTTGCAGCAGCGCGACGAAGTAGCTGTGGAGGCCCGGGTGGTTGAGCCTCTCTACAAGCCTAAGCAGCAACACAGACACCCACATAAGTCCCACAACTGCATCCTGCTTACGAACTGCTGCTGCTGCTGTCGCTGCTGCTGCTGCTGCTGCTGTCGCTGCTGCTGCTGCTGCTGCTGTCGCTGCTGGTGCTGCTAGCAGCTCCCCTCCACCACCTCACTCTAAAATCTTATCGCAGGCGCCGTTTTCGTAATCCTTGAAGCGTTCTTGGAGTTTGAGGTGTACGTACAGCTCCCGGACAGTCTTCTCTCCCTCAGGTCTGCCGTAGGCCTCCAGCAGATCAGCTGCTTCAGCAGGAGTTGCAGCAGCGAGGGCCTGCAGCAGCAGCGGAGCAACAGCAGCCTTTCGTCGCCTATCTCTGCATGCAGAAGTGCTGCCCCACGTTACGTGCACACCCCACAAGCCAGCACGGCGTGTCGGCGCATGCACGGCTACACCCGCAGATACACCCAGCAGCAGCACCACCAGCAATGCTGGTGCAGCTGCTGCTTCTAGTAGCACAGGAAGAGAGGCAAAGGGCCTCTGCTGCAGCTCAGGGTCACTTGAATGGGGGGCCTCTGCAGCCAATCACCTCAGCAAGTAGCCAGCTGCATTTGCCTTCGCGTATATCCGTGCCGGACTTCCCCAAGGCGTCTGGGCAGCCGAAACAATCTAAGAAGTCGTCCTGCGCCTACACCCCAAAGTGTTGCAACACACAAACCAATACCAAATGAAAAGAAACCGCTGCTGCTGCGCTGATCCTGTGCTGCTGCTGAGCTGCTGCTGGGCTGCTGCTAACCCGCTGTGGTGCTGCTGTTGCTAGAAAGGGCTGAGGGCCCCAGAAAGAGACAATAAACAGAAACAAAGGAGACGGGGAGCAACCAGAGAGCAGAGAAGAAAACAAAAATAAACAACACAGACAATATATAGCCAGATGAAGTGCACAAACAAATACAAGCGCCAAACAAACGAAACGAGAAACCCGAAACGCATTCCAAAAAAGCACAGAACAAACAGAGAAACAAAGGAGTATACAAATAAACAAACAAACAAACAAACAGACGAGCAAACAAACAAAAACACACACCCACACAAACAGGGAAGCAAACAAACATACAAAGCAAAACAACACAGAAAAAGAGGCACCTGAAAGTAGTCTCCCGTGCAGAGAGATATCTCCTCGGCCATCGCCAAGAGGGACCGGTCGCTCACGCCGCTGTACCGAAGCCCTGCAGCGAGAAAAAAAACGTAAATGTATACAGGAATGCATGCAGGGCTGCATGCATAGATGCATGCGTATGGGTCTTGTGGGTTGAAATCCAGGCGCAAGAGAGAAAGTGAGGTGTATGTGCACATCGGTTGCCCAGGAGAGAGGCTGATCGAGACAGCAGCTCCCATACCCAAAGCTGTGGGGAGCCAGAAAGAATAGTAGCTGGTTTTTAATCTTGCTGCTGCTTGCTGCCTGCTGCGCGCCGCTGCAGCTAGCTGCTGCAGAGTGGCTGATGCTGCTGCAGTTCCTCCTCGCAGCACCCGGATCAGCTCCTGCTGCTGCTGCTTCTGCTGGTATGGCTGCAGCAACGTGTGCACTCCCCCGTTGCTGTCGAGGTGTTGCCCCAGGACTGTGTTGAATGCAACATCTTGCAGCAAGCTGCTGCATGCAGTGAAGGCTGGATGGCCCCCGAGGAACTCTCGTAGCACTCTGATGACCCCAGTCCACATAAACACAAACCCCACCCCCCGACGTATACACCTCATTCGTCTCAACACGTTGAACAGCAGCAGCAGCAGCAGCAGCAAAAACAGTAGCAGCAGGCGCTGGCAGTCTATAGCAAAACCAACTGAAATGCTCAAAGCTCCAGCAGCGGCAGCAGTGGGTAGAACAATAAGCAGCAGCAGCAGCAGAAGCACCGTCATCCAAACCAACAAGAAGCAGCAGCAGCGAGACCTGCACCAGCAGCAGCAGCAGCTCCAGCAGCAGCAGCAGCATGCAGTGAATTGGGTCTGACTGATGAATGGCGAATATAAGGAAAACAGCATCGTTAATTGCATTCGCTGGCCCCACGTCTTCTCGCCTGTACCAACAGACTTTGCCTCTTCGGGTGTACGCGCCATCCATCTGGTCATCTGCAACCAAAAAGGCTGCCTGCAGCAACTCCACCCCCCACCCCAATGCACAGGCCCCGGAATTGAAAGCCTCCTCAATTGCTGCTGCTCCAGCAGCAGCAGAAGCAGCAGGAGCAGCAGCAGCACTGGAGGACGGATGCGCCTCTATACCAGATACGCCAGCTGCTGTGCCTGCTCGGCCTGCTGCTGTCGCTGCAGCATCGGTTGCTGCAGCAGCGGGAGAAGCACCTGCAGCACCCGATGGTGCTGCTGCTAGACGAAAGACAGAAGGCGCATCAGCAGGCGCCGGTCCTGCAGCTGCTGCTGCTGTTGGTGCTGCATCTGCTGCTGCGGACTCAGAAGGCTGAACGAATTGAACTTCTTGGCTAGCAGCAAGGGAGGCATAGACGGTCAGTAGCCCTCGCAGCAGCTTCCCCCCTGCATGCAGCAGCAAGCAGCAGCCCATCCAAGAACTCTGTATGATAGACTAAAGCAGCAACAACAGCAGCAGCAGCAGCTCGCAAGCACACAATGGAGGGGTCAAGCAGCAGCCACCCCAAGCCGCCGCCGGCTGGCTCCGTGTTTCAACTAACCCGTGCAGTTGTAGTCTATGACACGCGCATAATAGTTGCTGAGGACCTCTGCCTCCTCCCGGGGGGCACAGGCGGCAATGCGCGCGATGATAGCTTCTCGTAGGGGTTTTAACATCTGCAAACACCAGAATAGCACCAGAGAACTAAGGAACCGCTTGCTATATATATATATATATATATATATATATATATATATATATATATATATATATATATATATATAT